ACAAAACATCAAGGCTGGGACTGGACATTGTTTATAGAACATCAAGGCTGGGACTGGACATTGTTTATAGAACATAAAAGGCTGGGACGGGGACTTGTTTATAAAACATCAAGGCGGACGGAATTGTTTATAGAACTTAAAAGCTGGACTGGACATTGTTTACAGAACATCAAGGCTGGACTGGACATTGTTTATAGAACTCAAGGCTGGGACTGGACATTTTTTTAAGAACATAAAGGCTGGGACTGGACATTGTTTATAGAACTTTCAAGGCTGGGACTGGACATTGTTTATAGAACATAAAGGGCTGGGACTGGACATTGTTTATAGAACATCAAGGCTGGGACTGGACATTGTTTATAGAACATCAATGCTGGGACTGGACATTGTTTACAGAACATCAAGGCTGGGACTGGACATTGTTTATGAACATCAAGGCTGGGAATGGACATTGTTTATAGAACATCAAGGCTGGGACTGGACATTGTTTATAGAACATCAAGGCTGGGACTGGACATTGTTTATAGAACATCAAGGCTGGGACTGGACATTGTTTATAGAACATCAATGCTGGGACTGGACATTTTTTTACGAACATCAAGGCTGGGACTGGACATTGTTTATAGAACATAAAGGGCTGGGACGGGACATTGTTTATAGAACATAAAGGCTGGGACTGGACATTGTTTTTTAGAACATCAAGGCTGGGACTGGACATTGTTTATAGAACATCAAGGCGGGGGCTGGACATTGTTTATAGAACATCAGGCTGGGACTGGACATTGTTTATGAACATCAAGGCTGGGACTGGACATTTTTTTACAAACATCAAGGCTGGGACTGGACTTGTTTTAGAACATAAAGGCTGGGACTGGACATTGTTTCACAATTCAAAAGCTCCGGGGTGATATTAAGCGCTTGTTTTTCGAAGCAAATAAAATATTGATGCCAGGATTTGAGTTTGGACAATGGTCCAACACTAGCCCTTGTGTAATGTTACACGAAATACATGATAGAAGCGGAGAGTAAAACTTTTATTGCGGGTTTTACTGACATCGTCGGAACATATTTCGTTTTGTTAGAGCGACGACTCATTAATTAGTGCTGTGCTTAAAACTGGAATTTAGTCTTACCTTTCATTTACTTAATATTTTTTGTTTGATTATGTGAGGATTTAGTGACTAGCTAAACAATTAAATGCCTAACTTAGGTGAATCTAACCTAAGCTTCTATAGAGGAGGAATTAAGCTTGTAGTCTTTCGGAAAACTAAGAATTCAGTAATAATTTTAATCACGCCTAGCTCCCTACAAACAAAATCTGAAGTCCAGAAACTAATTCTAAACCAACTGAAGGAAAACGTCAATCTGATAATTTTCTAAGCTTTCTAACAATTAGTAGTTGACATGATATTGGAGCAATTAGAGGCCAGCTAATTGATTGTGGAATAATGAGCTTACAAGCAAAAATAAAGAGTAGTAATGTTTTCAAAGACAACTTAGTCGGACTTGAGCCTAGCGGGGCAGTACAGCTCCTGGACTCTGAAGGTGAACGTGTTTCCATAATTTTGGGTCGCTTTTCCTCGGTGCTTAAAAATAACAAAATCTGTGATAAATGAAGAAAAAAACGACTATTCAACAGCTTAGTCATGCGATAAATGAACTTAGAAATGAACAAGTGTCAGGAAAACAAAAAACTGAGAATTAGAAACACGAGATAATAATAAAGCAACAAGAGAATGAACACTGCAATAAATCCAAGATGAGGACAGTTTGTAGGTTGCAGCCAAAAACTGTGGTGGTGGGAAACTCTTTACCGGGAATTTGACTCTCGGTAATTGGATTCCGGTAATTTAATTCCTGGTAATTTAATTTTCAGTTACTTCACTCCGCTTAGTTTTCACTTCCGCTTAAAAAAACAAAAATAATAATCACATCTGTTTAAAAGATTTTTAAAAATTAATAAAATTAATTAAATCCATGATAAATCCACTAACTCGGGTGCAAGACCCACTCAAATCCAACCCTGTCACTCGCGTACCCATCCAACCTATACTTGAAACTACCCAAGGTTTTACTTTACTTTTTATGCTGTCAGAACTGTACACTAAGTTGATCAGCGCATCAAGCCTATAGAGTCAGTAGCAACCTTGTAGTTCATGTACATAAAACAGGCATCTGTGTTCTACTTAAATATTCTTTGGTAATCAGCGAGGCTTCTCAACAAATCTATAGTTCCTATACCAAACCGGTGAGGCTTCAGGCACCATGTGTGTAGTGCAAATAATGATCGTAGATCACAATACAATCATGAGATGTGTGTAAATTCAACTTTATGTACAAACAAGACCGGGAAAGTCGCTTAAGCTTGCTAGTTCTTGTCTGACCGTTGGAGACAGTGACCTTGAGAAACTCAGGAAAGACATAAGAACATAAGAAAGGAGGATCACTTCAGCTGGCTTGTTGGCCCATACTAGGCAGATTCTTTACAATCCATCCCACTAACAAAACATTTGCTTGAGGTTGTGTCTCTCATGTGATGAAAGGATCAAGAATATACTGTAGAAGCACTTCAAGAAGTATATGACTCACTTGTTACAGAAGAACCTTCAGTTGTTACAACAGAATCTTCAGGTAAACAAACCGTACCACGGGCGGGGATAGAACCCGCGATCAGAGACTCTCAAAACTCTTATTACGATTTCGTGAGTCATGTTAACGGCTTTGAGGGGACTTGAGCTAGAGTTCGTCACGGCCACGCTAGCTGGAGATTCGTCTGTAAAAACTTGCATTTGTGGTCACAGTGGTGCCTATGCTAACCTTCCTATGGTGTAGAAATGTACCTAGTTGGACGAATCTTATTGTGGCTAGCTGATCCAGTGGCTAACGCGACGGTCTGGAGTTTTGAGACTCTCTGATCTTGGGTTCTATCCCCGCCCGTGGTACGGTTTGTTTGCAGTCGTGTCATTACGATTTCGTGAGTCATGAACCTTCACTTGTTACAACAGTACCTTCACTTGTTACAACAGAACCTTCACTTGTTACAGCAGAACCTTCACTTGTTACAGCAGAACCTTCACTTGTTACAACAGAACCTTCACTTGTTACGACAGAACCTTCACTTGTTACAGCAGAACCTTCACTTGTTACAACAGAACCTTCACTTGTTACAACAGAACCTTCACATGTTACAACAGAACCTTCACTTGTTACAACAGAACCTTCACTTGTTACAACAAGAACCTTCACTTGTTACAACAGAACCTTCACTTTTAGAACAGACCTTCACTAGTTACAACAGAACCTTCACTTGTTACAAACAGAACCTTCACTTGTTACAAACAGAACCTTCACTTGTACAACAGAACCTTCACTTGTTACAGCAGAACCTTCACTTGTTCAACAGAACCTTCACTTGTTACAACAGAACCTTCACTTGTTACAACAGAACCTTCACTTGTTACAACAGAACCTTCACTTGTTACAACAGAACCTTCACTTGTTACAACAGAACCTTCACTTGTTACAACAGAACCTTCACTTGTTACAGCAGAACCTTCACTTGTTACAACAGAACCTTCACTTTTTACAACAGAACCTTCACTAGTTACAACAGAACTTTCACTTGTTACAACAGAACCTTCACTTGTTACAACAGAACCTTCACTTGTTACAGCAGAACCTGCACTTGTTACAACAGAACCTTCACTTGTTACAACAGAACCTGCACTTGTTACAGCAGAACCTTCACTTGTTACAACAGAACCTTCACTTGTTACAACAGAACCTTCACTTGTTACACAGAACCTTCACTTGTTACAACAGAACCTTCACTTGTTACAACAGAACCTTCACTTGTTACAACAGAACCTTCACTTGTTACAACAGAACCTTCACTTGTTACAACAGAACCTTCACTTGTTACAACAGAACCTTCACTTGTTACAACAGAACCTTCACTTTGTTACAACAGAACCTTCACTTGTTACAACAGAACCTTCACTTGTTACAACAGAACCTTCACTTGTTACAACAGAACCTTCACTTGTTACAACAGAACCTTCACTTGTTACAACAGAACCTTCACTTGTTACAACAGAACCTTCACTTGTCGTGTTAATTTGGTCAAACTTATCTTCATCTCGTTACCAAAAAAATATCAGTTCTTCAATATCTATTGCAAATAGATATTGAAAATTGTCCTATTTATTTGACTTATTGAAAATTGTGAACATTATATGTATTTTACAGATTAAGATTTCAGTTTTTTGAAAAGCTGTAAAATTATTACGGATTGTTTTTTAAATATCGCATTTTCTTTCCCGTCATATAAGACGCATGAGTATATAAAGTGGACCCTAAATTTGAGTGGGACTTTCACAACATGAGTTAACAGGGCCATCTAAGCTTATTCCTTGGGTAGCCTTGCAAATGGGTTGGGCAAATATTTTTTTTTAGTGGGTTTGGGTTAGAGAAGGACCTGTACAGTATGTGTCAGTAGGCCTCTTGCAGTGTTCCTCTTTTATTGTGTTCTTATGCTCACAGTGTAGTTGAATGATGAGGGACCTAGCGATGGCTACCTGTTATTTAAGGACGGTTACTTTAAAAATATTTACCATTGCTGAAACTGGTGGGCTTATTACGTACCGGTAATACGTAGGTTATATGTGAATTATGGCAGTAAGTTATGATAATTACTAATTACTCTCAACCTTGAAAGAAGTTTTGTGGAGTGGGTTGAAGTTGGGTTACTTGGACGGCAGCATTGTAACCACCACTTGTCAGTTAACCCGAAGCCTACCCTTCTTCCCGAGAATTTTTGTGGGTAAAAAGCGCGCTCCTTATATGCCGAAATACAATTTTTCATGTTCACTTTTAATCAGTTCCATTAAGAAATATCCATATTAGGTTGAAAATAAAGAGAGTCCGAGTCTTCCTATGTTCATGCAACCAAAGCTTCTATGCCATATCTTCCTGACGAGGTTTTCACATCCTTCTCTTAGGACGACGAGTCTAAGAGCTCTTCAAAAGCCAACGAACTTGGTCTCAACAACGTGGGAGGTGTCTTTGTAGTGCTCCTCGCTGGTATGGGTCTGGCCTCCGTTGTAGCCGTCTGCGAGTTTGTTTGGAAATCAAGAAAGCTTGCCGCTGAAGAACATGTAAGTTCTTCTGCCTTATTCGGTATTGATAAGGATATTTGATCTTTCCATCATGATAACTAAGTTTGTTACGCAATTTTAACACAACTGTTTGTGTCTGAATCCCTTTTTAAACAACTCTCTCAGCAACAAACAATAATATAAAATTAGTTGAATATATACCACCAAGATGTACAGACTACTTTCATGGACAAATATAAATCCTAACCAGTGATGGAATAGGACAAGTGTCCAGTGGGAAAAGCTAGAAACCAGAGCTACGATATTCTGGTTCTCGTCTCATAAAAACCCGATTAAGCTGTAAAGTGGAATACGCTTGAGCAATGGAAGCTTATTAGTTTCAGCTCTGGTGTATGTAGCATGATGCTCTTCTATTGTTATCTAGCATTCTTTCACACCAAGTGTGTTTGTTTAACTACAACAAAGACAAATTAAAATCTAAGGTTTTTCCAAGAGATAATTCCATTAGCGTTTTTGTGCAGGAATAGCAATCCCAATTAACATAAAGAGGGAAAATAAAGTTCTACTCTACAGAGTTCCTGTGTAGCAAAAAATAGCAATAAAAACAATATCAATTTTTTTTTTCACAAATAATACATAAATATTAGAACGCTCATCAGGTTGGGTAAATTATCATTTGCCAGTTTTTTTTAACCAAATTAGTTTCTGTGAAATAATTACTAAATGTCTCTTTTCATCAGAAATATGTTAAGGTGTTCGACTATATTTGATTAACTTACGTTCAATTAACTTAATGTTTTCTTATTTGGGCTGCGGAATTTCCTAATTTTATGGACGAATTTTGAATACCTGGAGAGTATAAGTGGGGAGAGTTTCGGGGGTCAACGCCCCCGAGACTCTCTCCACGTTGATCAGACACTGATCCTGGTAGGTCAGTGTCTGATCCACTTTCTGTGTTCCTTCTTAAGTCTATTATCAGCCTTTTTTGTTCTTGGTATCTGTTAAAGAAAAGTCTTGTGAGAGATCAAACTGTCTTTAATTCTTATATACACAAGTTTTCTTTCATTAAACTGTTCTTTTCAAACAGCTCACACTATAAGCAACAGCAATTATTTCATATTAACTTTATTTTGTATAATAAGTCTCTATATGACTCTTATAATTCTGCATTAGAGTTATGTAGTTGATGATAATGAATGAGAATTTGTGTGTCTGTTGCCATTCGTAAGCACATGAAAAATATTTAAGTGATATCTAGTTTCCTTGGTAGGCTGGAGGCGCCCCACTGTGAAGACTCAACATTTTTACAGCTGCTCTATATCATGTAACGAGACAGAGTATAACAACAGTGCCATTACAGTACTTTAGGAGAAAGAGAAGATAAAATTAAGACACATGTGCAACATCTGGGTATCTTTATTGTAGACGTTTCGCCATCCAGTGGCTTTATCAATACAAATTCCAGGACATGAAGATAGTAGAACTATGTACATAGTTCTACTATCTTCAAGTTATGTCCTGGAATTTGTATTGATAAAGCCACTGGATGGCGAAACGTCTACAATAAAGATACCCAGATGTTGCACATGTGTCTTAATTTCATCTTGTCGGCATTGTATACCATTTTTGTACAAAGAGAAGATAAGAAGAAAAAACACAAGAACCCATAGCCCAACCTCTGGATCGTGCAACAATACAACAATTCTAAACATTTACGATATTATTCTCCCCAGGCTTCCGTTTGGACAGAAATGAGCAAGGAAATTAAATTTGCTGTCTCTTGTGAGTCGTCGTCCAGCCGGTGAGAAAGAAGCCACCAGAGCAAGAGAACGGTCCCTCCTTCCTCTCCATGAAAACTTATGACCCAGCCTTCACCGCCTCTCAGCATTCCTTCTCATCCAAGGATCCAATCTCATGACAGCCACAGGTAAGTTACCTTTATCTCGTGGAAGCTTGTTTTGATACTCATTACTTTTCCGGCAAAGATATTCATTTTACCTGGTAAGTTATTCTTTTTAGTTTGGGGCTGTCAATGTGTATGGTTATGTAGGTATATGGTTATCTAGTGTTATCTGGGAAGTACGTTCTTCATTTTTGTTACATTATTCTATGTTTTAAATTGTCATTGTCAATATTGTTCCTATGTGCCTCTTAGTTTCGTTATCATTAATACAAGACTGTGTTTTGCAGGTTGGCAAATTCAGAATCATTGTATCATATATTTCTGTCAGTGTTTCTCGTCAACACTTGTGGTGTGAATGAGGCGCCTCCAATCTTGTTATCCTCGAGCATAATAACTGATTCTCCTCGCAGGCCGCCAAATGATCACTCGAGACTGGCCGACTGTTTAAAAAGATTCATGAACACAATGCTTACCTCTTATTAAAGGCTTAAAATATAATTAAAATTTTTTTCTCTATATGGTTATTAATAATATTATTTTAAAATTTCCACGTAATGGTGGTCTTTCTATTTTAATGATCACAGCGCCAGTCTTCTAAATAATTTAACATTAGGCAATTTATTGCACTATTTCTGTTTCATTGGTATATGATTGCAAATTATTGTCATGTTCTGTCTGCTCAGGAACCAGCCAGAGAAACCCCACCAGCGAAGATCATGCAAGACGAATTCCCGTCTCCTTCCGTTGTAGCCAATCACAGCATTCAATCTCTGGATCGCATCTCCCAGCGCTCAGTCGAGTCATCTACTCGAGAGTCAACAACTGAAGTGAAGCAGGAGGGAGGTCTTCAGTCTCCAGATCTTCCCTTCCAGTTGATATCTTCAGTTTGACACTAAAACAGCCTAGGTCACTTAATACCCAACTTACAAAAACATCAAAACATCGCTTCCAGTTTAAATCAAGACAACCGCAATCCATAAGAATCATACGTCTCTGCGATGTATACAAAGAGGAAATAATGTACGACCATATCTACCAAAACTTTGATTTTACAAAGTCACTGTATTGTCTAGTAGGATAGTAGGTATTGCCGATAAATACGGCAAATATTGTCAATGAATATGGCAGGTGTGTAGATGAATGGTTCAGAGAACCGACAAGTTGATAAATTAGACACATGTGCAACACTTGGGTATCTTTAATGAGGGAACGTTTCGCCACACAGTGGCTTCATCAGTCCATACAAAGGATGAACAGGAGGAGTTTGAGGTAATCAGTCCCTCAACCTTGAGTCGATGTAATCAGATTGATGGACTAACTACATCGACTCAAGGCTGAGGGACTGATTACCTTAAACTCCAATTCTTTACCATTCCCCTTTGTATAGACGGGATTGAAAAAAAGGGGGAAATTTCCCTTTAAAAAAGTTTTTCCCAATTTTCCACTGTTTTTTCTAAAATGGGGTATATCCAAATAATAAAAAAAAATTTTTTAAAAAAGAAAGGAAAAGGTTTTGATATTTAAAACCCTTTTGGATAAAATTAAAACAAAGTAAATTTGGGGTTTTTAAATGGGGAACCCGGCCACCCCCTGGTTTTAAAAAATCAGTCCTTAAAAAGGTGCTTTATAAAAACCCCCAAAAATTTGATTTTAAATAGAATTGAGGGAAACAACGCTGGTTAAAATATTTTAAAACCCAACTTTAAAAATTTTTTTAAAACGGGAAAACCAATGGGGGGGAAATTTTCCTTTACAAATTGGGGTTCCCAAACATTGTCCAATATTTTAAAACATGGCAATCTGTGGTTTTAAAAATTTAAAACAATTTTGGGGTTAAAAACATTTGAAATAATAATTTTTCCCAAAAGAAACAGTGTTTGGGAAAAAACCCCTGAAAAACCAAAATATTTGTGGAAACCTAAAAAAATTTGAAAATTAAAATTGGGGAAAAAACCGGGTTTAAAAATTGGGGTTCCAAACTTTTGATAAATTTTGGGGTGAAAAACCCGGGTAAAATTTTTTTTTTGGTCCCAATTTTTTGAAAAATATTGGGGTCCCAACACGGGAAACCAATGGGGGTGTTGCAAACACTGGTCCCAAACTGTGGTAAAAACGGGGGAAAATATTGTGGTCCAAAAATTTTGTAATATTTGGTACCAAAAAGCAACATTTTTGGGGTAAAAATTAAAAAGGGTTTAAAAATTTTTGTTTGGTTAAAAACACTGGTAAAATTATTGTGGTCCCAAAAATTTTTAAAAAATTTTGGGGTTATTTTAACACGGTAAAATATTGTGGTACCAACATTTTAAAATATTGGGGTTTCCAAAAGGGTACATATTGTGGAACAAAACTGGTAAAAGAACTTTTGGCCCAAAACTGGACATATTTGGGGGTCCCAAAATTGTACATTTTTTGGTCCCAAATTTTTTTGGGAAAAATACTGGGGAAACCAACATTTGTTTTGGGACAATTAAATTTTGTGGTAAAAAAACACAAAGTTAACAAATTAAAAATTGTGGTCCCAACATTTTTTAAATTTACTGGGGAAACCAAAACGGGTAAAATACTGTAAAAACCAAACTGGCCCCAATTACGGGTGGAACCAACATGGACAATACTGTGGAAACCAACACTGGTAAAATACTGTGGTCCCAACTTTGGAAAAAACCCCGGGTACCAAAAAAGGTACAATACAGGGGTTACCAACATAAATACTTTATTGGGGAAAACCAAACATTGGTAAAAAACGGGCCCCTCCCCCTTTAAAATTGGTAACCAAAAAGGGTTTACAATACTGTGGTACCAAAAACGGAAATACTGGGTACCAACAGGGTTTACAATACTGTGGGTACAACATGGTAAATTCCCGGGTACCAACTTTGGAAAATATTTTGGTACCAAAACTGGTAAATACTGGGGGTCCCAAAACACTGGTACAATACTGTGGAACCAAAAATTGGAACAAAAATGTGGTACCAACATTGGTAAATACGTGGTCCAAAATTGGTAAAAATATGTGGTACCAACATTGGTAAAATACTTTGGTCCAACTTTGGTTTAAAATTTACTTTTGGTACCAATTTTTGGGCAATAGTGGTACCAACAGGGTAAATACGTGGAACCAACACTGGTACAAAAATGGGGGAAAACCAAAGGGGGACAATACTGTGGAAACCCAACATGGTCAATACTGGGTCCCAAAACTTGGGGTTTTAATACTATGGAACCAAATTGGTTAAACTATGGAAAAAAACCCATTGGTACAATATGGGGGTACCAACATTGGTAAATTTAAAACTGTGGCCCAAAACACTGGAAAAAGGGGGTCCCAATTTGGTAAAATACGGGGGTCCCAAAACCCCTGGAAAAAATACTGTGGTACCAAAAAAACTTGAAACCAATTTTAAACTTGGTACCAACATGGTAAAATTTACGTGGTACCAACACTGGTAAAAACTGGGGAAACCCAAAACCACTAGTACAGTAAAGTGGAACCAATTTTTGGTACAATACGTGGTCCCAAACATTGGAAACAAACTGGGGTTTCCCCAACACTAGTCCCAATACTGGGGTCCCAAAACACGGGTTTAAAATTTACTGTGGTACAAACACTGGACAATACTTGGCCCAACATTTGTACAAAAAATGGGGGAAACCCAAAAATTTTGGGTAAAAAGGTAATGTGGCCCCAAAACATTTACAATACTGGGGTCCCAAACACGGGTTTTACAATCCCTGTGGTACCAAATGGTAAATACTAGGTCCCAACATTGGGTAAAATACAAATGGCCCAAACACTAGTAAAATTTTTGGGACCAACATTGGTAAATATTGTGGTCCAACCTGGTACAATACTGTGGTACCAAAAATGGTAAATTTACTTGGGAAACCAACATTGGTAAATTTTGGGGTTACCAACATTGGTAAATTATTTTGGGTACCAACATTGGTAAAATTTGTAAAAATTAAAATTTTGGGGTCCCAAAATTTGGTCCCTTTGGGAACCAAAAAACGGGTACAATCTGGGGTCCCAAACAGGGTAAATTTACTGTGGTCCAACTTTGGTATTTTTTTTTTTTCCCCCTTCCCCCCCCCCCTTGGTCCCAATACTGTGGTAACAACACGGTACAAAAACTGGGGTCCAAACACTGGTACAATACTGGGGTACCAACACGGGGTACAATATGTGATACCAACGCTGTACAATACTGTGGAACCATCATTTGGAACTTAATGTGGTCCCCAACATTAGTACAATATGAGGTACCAAACTGGTACAAAACAGTTTACCAACTTTGGGGTATAATACTTTTGGTAAAAACTTTGGTATAATACTATGGGACCAACACGGCCCAAAAATACTGTGGTCCCAAAAATTTGGGTAAAATTTACTGTGCTACCAACACGGGTTTCAATCTGTGTACCAAGTTTGGTAAAATTTACTTGGTACCAACACTAGTAAAAATTCTGTGGTCCCAACACGGGTACAAACTGTGGTACCAAAACGGTAAAATTTACTAGGGTTTACTAACACTTGTCAATACTGTGGAACCAACACTAGTACGTATTTTTGGCACCAACATTGGTTAAAATTACTGGGGTTTCCAACACTGGTACAAACTGTGGTACCAACATTGGTAAAAACAGGGTCCCAAACCATTGGTTTTTAATACTATGGTCCCCAACACTAGAAACAATATTTTTGGTCCCAAATTTGGTTTATAAAAATGGGGTTTCCCAACACTGGTACAATACTGGGGTACCAACATTGGTACAAAACTGTGGTACCAAACACGGGTAAAAATTCTGTGGTCCCAACATTGGTAAATAAAAGGAACCAAATTGGTAAAATCTATTGTACCAAAATTTTTGGTATTTATGGAACCAACACGGTAAAATACGGGTGGTACCAACATGGTACAATACTGTTTTTAACCAACTTGGTACAATACTGTTTTAAAAAACCCCGGGTTTCCCCCAAAAATGTGGTACCA